ATTTCTCAGTAAATAATAATGAATATTTTGGTGTCTATTAAAAAGTAGTGTTTGTAGCTTTTTCAAATTTTTATTTCAGGGTACTTTGAAAAGGAATTTTTAATTCAAATCGTAGACCATAGGAATTGAATAATTAAACTTTAATATTTACAAAAAGAATAGATACTAAAGACATTTCTACTTTACAGCATAAAGAAATAGACTTGATTTGTATAGTTCCGCCTTTTGGAAGTTTTTTTTATAGCATACGAGTTTGCGGTACACCTGATGGTTAGTGATAATCGCCGCTCATGAGCACCCGCAACACCAGGGGCATTGCAAGTGGATTGTAAGTGAAATAATAAAAGATAGAGACGATAGAAGCAATAATTAAAAATTGTTCATATAATACATTAAGAATTTAAGAATTGTCACAAATCATGAGCGTATTTATACAGATAATAAAACTAGTTAATCCCACTGTATTCTGAGGCATCACGCCCTATCCATTTGTGGGGTGAGTACGGGAACTGAGTGCTCGCATATTCTGTTGTCAAATAAAATATCACAATGTCATAAATTATGGTATTAAGAGATATTTGGCACCATTATTAGAATTTGTTGTCTATAACGATGCTTCCGTTTAGTGACATGTGGTCAGACGATTGATTTTGTTTAATACTGGGCTTATTTTTATTATAAATATTTATAGCGGGTATAGAAGTTAAGTAGAATGCCAATATGTTGGTTAATTTACTACGGATACAACACGTAGTGAATGCTATGTTATTTTGTTAAGTAATGAATATAAAATATTTATATATAAATTAAAAACAGTTAAGGATAAGCAAGTACTACAAAGAACTTGCTACTAACGTAGTAGCTATAGAAGTATACTAGTAGGTTGCTGCTTACAAAGTTGGTTGGTTGGTCTTGAAAAAAAGACAGCATGATATAGAAAAAAATATATATTTCAGTTAGTAGGGTAAAGAAAATAGGGAAATCTGACTCCGACATCTAGTGTGATATATGTATAGTTGGGAGAGAGAAATAAACAAATTTCGCGTAAATTTTCTGCACTTATACAAATTTTATTAACAAAACTAAACCCTTCTTTACGAAAATAACATAAAATAAGTTTCGCGCAGTGAAAGTTTATATTGTTATGATTACAGGAAGCTAATATGTTGTTGTAGTAATCATTAAACAATTAAATCAATAAAAAAAACGTTCAGTTTAAAATTTTATAAATTGTAATAGTTTATAATTTTAAGGAAGAAAAAAATAAACAATTACGCGAAAATATATAAACGAAAAGCAAAGGATTTCATACCTATAAAATTACGGTTTAAAATAATGTATTTATTATTTGCGGGGTGCACCCATTTATCCCATTAGGACATGGAAATGGTATTTTTTAGGAATGAAAACTGAGGGCGATAGTATGAACTATGAATGGACTGTATGCATGATATAAATCAAACAATGGATAGAAAATGGTGAATACTTATAATGAAGGTACAAACAGTAGCAAGGCAAAAATGCCAATGAAAAATATATGACAATAAAATTGGTAGAGGAATAAATATATAAAAATATGCAAAGTTTCAAAGAGTTTGCAACAGAAACTTCTACTGTAATAATAATAATAATAACAGACAAAACTGTACATCACAACAGACCAGATATAACACTACATGATAAGAAAAAAAAATAGTTTATATTATAGATATTGCAATACCAAACACACATAATCTTTTACAAACACATACAGAAAAAATTGCTAAATATACTGATTTGGCAATAGAACTAAAAATGAACTAACAATGGCAGGTAGAAACAGTGAAAACTCTCCCAATTATTATCTCGTCCACAGGTGTCATCCTAACATCCCTACACACTAGCCTCAAGATATTACAACTTCACCCACTTACTTTCATCCTTCTCCAAAAAGCTGTAATATTAAACACAAATTGTAGAATAGTCCGCAAATTTTTGTCTTCCACTTAAAAATTATCCATCGTCATCATTCATCATTTATACTATCATTGTTTGGTGATTTTTACCCGCAATGATCAGTCTATTATCCCATCAAAGGGAGATATATAATATATATATATATAAAGAAATAATAATAATAATAATTCAAGAGAGGCAAAATGTTCTAAACTTTATACCTAATAATCTATTAGATCCAGCGCAATCGTCCTTATACTACATATTATGGAATAGATACAATTGTAATGGGATATTGTATAGAATTATCGAGCCAACATTCACACGGTGACCACCATGGATTATAAAGTCATTATAAATGAAACCATAAATCAAACATAATATCACAGATAAGGTAATATTGATAATAATTATCACTTTTATAAAGAGATCAAGTTCGGAAATATAATTTTATAAATAGTTAAAAAAATTACTTGATCTATACATATATACATATAAATAAAATTAGAGTGTCTGTTTGTAATATTGAAATACCGTATTTATATGCATATGAATATAAATACGGTACGTACATCAAAATAACATTTTTTACCATTTTTGTCTGTCTGTCTGTTTGTTCCGGCTAATCTCTGAAATGGCTGGATCGATTTAGACGGGACTTTTTTAGCAGGTAGATGTAATAAGGAGTAACTTAGGCTACTCTTATTTTAGAAAAAAGTTAAATTCACGCGGACGAAGTCGCGGGTACAGCTAGTAAATATATCAACGATTAGTGGCTTACGTTTATTTGTGTAATCTGAGTAGTTAGTAGTGAGAGTAAGTTTGTATATTTGTAAGAGTCTAAATCAGAGGTTATCAAACTGTTTTGTGTCGTGTCAAGGGGTGCCATATTTTTCGGTTTTGGGTAGACCCTCATTCTAACCTGGTATTGATTTTTTGTAAATTTCTAACTGTAGAAAAGTTTAGTGTTAAAAACAACAAGATGACCGCTGTCGTAGACCCCTTGCAGTTTGTCACAGACCCCTGGGGGTCGATATAGACCACTTTGGGAATCACTGGTCTAAATTTTACCAACCATATCCTGTACCTACCTAAATAGGTATTGAACACACATTGCATGCAAATAACATACAAAACAGGATATGTGTGATAGATATACACATAGATCTTATATTTAGTAAACCTATAATATTACCTTTTCAAATAGGTGATATTTCATCAATTTATGTCCGGATATTAGGGAGCCGTAACCGAAACTATCGGATATCCGATATAAAAAAATATTCATAACCGTAACCGAATCCGAAATAAAAGTTTCGGATAATATCGGATAGGGGCGGAGCCTAATTGAGACACGTTATGTAACCATTTTATTAGCTACTTGTTTTTACTTTTGAAATTCCTTAAGAAATTAATATCCGTAACCGAAATTATGCGAAACTAACGGATAATCCGAAATAACTTCATATCCGCATCCGTATCCGTATCCGGTATAATAATCATTCCTATATCCGAAATCTATCCGTATCCGAAATATCCATAACATCCCTGATGTCTATAAATAAATATCTACTTTTTTTTAAAGATGGAAGTGAACATAAAAAAGCGGTACAAACAATCACTCGATATTGCGCAAGCGAACCTTCCTTCATTAAATCGGGCATGCTTTTGGTCGCGCTAAAATGCGTGGCAGAACGTTTCGGGTAAATGTATTATTGTACTCACAGTTCTCTCCTTCCCATTAAATCTAGTTCTAGGCAAATTATTTAATGGTACAGACATTATGACTACATGTAAAGAAAATAATAGGTACCGGGAGAGATCTAGTCTGATCTTTATAGCTGTCTGAGGTAAGGAGTCTACAGTTACCCGACCAATTGTAAGCATGCGATAACTTGAAAACTCGATGAACAAAGAGTTCTATGAAATCTGGCATGAAGCTAGATGCCAATATATATATACCTAATAGTAAAGTTATTTGAATAAAACAGGAGTAGAGGGGTGATATGCCTTCAAATGATTTCATAAAGAACGCGCCACTTGAATTAAACAATAGCGCCAACATAAAGCTGCATTTACACACTCAGCCATCTGTGATCTGTACCGGTACATTCACAGAAACAGAAGAACTTAGTAAATAAAAACATATAACTTGGAAATTAAGATAAATATTTCGAAGAATAACAACCCAATACAATATAAGTTGAGCATCAGTGTGTTAATTACGCACGTATAGATATCGTACGACTTGATTTTAAATAAACTCAATCATAAAATTGTGATGCACAAGGTTACTTTCCCGCCGTTTTTCTTTTTAAATCTGCGCGCTGCCTGTTCGAAATATATGTTGCAAATAGTGCGTTTATGAAATATAACTTCACTATTTACGTTTATAACGCACACGTGTTTAATGAACTGCTTTATATAACAAAAACAGAATGAAAATTATTATTACCTGTATAAATTTTAGTGGGATCTGAATGTTAAATTAGATATGAGTGTCAAAGGGTTCACAAGCTGATTAGCTTGTCATTAATATTTAATTATTTCATTAGCCTGTCATGATATTGTTATTAAATATAAAAGCTTATTTTGTTTATTTTTTCAGAACCCACTGTTCATAAAGTATTTCGCGGGAACAAACTGCGCTGTTGAACTGACGGTGTTACCACGTAAGAAATATGTAAGTTCATTAACTGCATCTGATTACGAAGCATGAATGGACCCGCTCGAAATGCAAAATATGAGGTGTTTTCTTATATATTATTAGTTATCATATCCCCCTGTGTTGCGAATGCTCAAGAGTAATCTCTTACCGTCTTTTGTGCCGTAAGTTAATTAGCGACTTTGCTATGAAAAACTAAAAATGATAATAACAGTGAGCCCTCCTGGGAATACTTATATTTTTGTTGAAATCAAACGTACTGCTTGACTGTGATTGCACTCATTCAGACTTTATAAACGTTCTACGTAATGTCATATTTCACGTGACATTTGTGTATCTGACATTACTTGACGTATTTGATTTGACATTAGTGAAGTTTTCAAGTTTCCATTCCATCATATTTTAATAATCTTTACAGTTTCACTAGAAATTACATAAAATCAATTTATCAACAATTAAATCATGCCTTTTTAGGTTTTATTCTTACTTTATTATATGTATATATGTAGTAAAAGATGTGGCAATTATTACAGAATCAATCATGCCATGCCGCAAGACAGAGGTAATATTAAAACAATCGCCAGAAATTCTCCAGTATTTTCCGCAATAAATTTATATTGTTTATATTATTTACAGGTTATTATTAACAAAGGGCAATGGTCCTTTCATGAATATTGTAAAAAATAAGCCGACAAATGTATTTCAACGCCACATTTCCGACGTGAAGAAAAGTGCAGAAAACAGTGCAAAGTCTGGTGTTTTATTAGTTTGTAGCCCTTGGAAGTTATGTACTGGAGTTAGTATAGGTTTAGCAGCTCGTTTATTACTAAATAATGGTTCGGTGTTCTGCAAAGCGCAGCATTCCAGAGTGATTCAGAGGAGAACGAATATTCAGGATGATCGTGCTAAGTTTGACTGGAGGAGGTTTTTTGAGTATTTAAAACCTCATAAATGGTTGCTGGCTGCCGCTGTGGCGGTATGTATATATTTTTTTATTATATATTCACTAAAATAAACAATGATTACTGGTCAAATCATAAAATTTGTTTTACCAACCAAAATAGTATTGGAGATGGCGAATCTAATAGGTTATTTTATAAACTGATGACCCAATTGATATTAAGTGGTAATCATTACTTATATACTTGAATAATATAACACATCATACATAATATAATGCCATTGCATTACCATTTCGGATTACCAAGATGTCAGTCATCAATTCCATAAATTTTCTGCTATATCTAACTTTTCAACTAAAACAGCTTGCAATGCAAAATCGTTGTCTGCAAAATAGTTGAGATGGAGGTGTACCTTCTTAGCTTTACTCTATTCCTATCTTAACTATGACTCCTATGATATCTAACTTACTCCATTTGGAATCCTACAATTGGAATTTTGGAATTATATCCTAAGGAATAATAGAGGATACCATCCAATATTTTTAATAAACCACTAGTTCGGAGTTCTTTCGAGCTAAGAAGTACTGACAGGTCAGTCAGCTGTTATTTTTTTCAAATGAAATTGACTGTGATTACTAAAATAGAGATTTTAAAATTAAATGCTATATAAAATGTGCTATAGCTGGTATTATTATTGTATATATGTTTATGTATACAACATATTGTGCCTACATGGTTATGTTACGACTATTGTACTATATTAGTATGCTTTATTAATCAAGAAAGTATAAATATACCCTCATATATATATATATATATATAAGTATAGATACACAGTATAGTCATATTTTTTTTGTTACAGTCAGCATTGGCGGTTGCATTTCTAAATGTCTACATTCCGGCAATGCTTGGTGTGATTGTTAACATTTTGGCTAGTATGAAGAGCAATCCTAGTGCAGACTTCATTGAAGAGATAAAGTTCCCAGCTTTAAAATTAGTATCTTTATATATAGGACAGGTAAAATAAAAGTAAATTTAACTTGTTTTTTATGTAATTAATTATATCTATATCTAAATGAATAGCAAACAAGATGATGGTCACCAGATGGCAATTAGTTACCTTAGAAACACCAATGTGAGCATTAAGCTGACCATAAGTATGATAAGATTAGATCACTAGTTTTTGTGCTATTGAAGTTGGTTTTTCATTACTTGAAAACAGTTTTATTAATTTTTCATCACCAAAAATTTGCTTATTATTTATGTATGCATTTATATAATAACTTCCATGCACATAATACCAAGCTACATCTGGTGGACTTAATGCCTTACCACATGATCTACTAGTCAACCATTGGTTGTTCAGAGAAAAATTATAGGTAGTGGAATACTACTTTGGAAAAATAATGAATAAGAAAAACAGCATGTAATGATTTACATATTGGTTTTCTCCTACGTTTTATATACTTATATTTTATTTTATTATTTATACACCTTATTCTGATATACAAGTTAATATTGTTCAGTTTATCAGCTTGTTCTGAGAAAGGCCTCCTACAATAGAATTTGGTGTTGGAACTAGTGTGTTCCTTCTCCATGTTGGTCCAACCACTGTGGTATTATCCACAAACCTCTTTTTCTGTCGCCTTTGTTTCCTTTTTTCTTTAAACTCTATTTACTTATATATATAACTATGTATTTACATGTACAAAAAGAGTTTGGTAATTAGTTATTTAAGAAATACTAAATATTTATTAATACTATTACAGGCTGCCTTCACATTCCTGTACATTCACTTACTGGCACAAGTGGGTGAGTTAGTAGCGTCCCAAATGAAGCAAGACCTGTTTGTTTCAATATTGCAGCAGGATATGGCATTCTTTGACCGTGAGAGGACAGGTGAACTAGTCAATAGGTATATTTGCATTGCAATAATTTTGATCAAATCAGTATCAAAAGTAATATCTGCAAATTTGAAACAAGTTGCTCATTTTTCTATTTTTATTTTTCTATAATTGGATTGACAATTAAACTGATGACCTACCTGATGGTAAGTGGTAACCATTGCTTTTAGCTTTGGCGGCTATAATAGGTGCGACATAGGTGCCCATGCATATGACTATTTATAGTTGACCATTATATTGTAATATAGTGGAGTAAATTTTAGTATTAAAATTTATAGTCTTGAATTGGATTAAAAAAAGTTCATGGTGAGTGGTAACCATCACCTACTTCTGTTTCACTGTATTGTCTCAATCCTAATCTGAAACATAGTTTACAAAGCAAGCTGTTTGGCGGCTCAAAAGGTAGACCCATGTAGTTTTTTTGTTTTACTTTTAATATATTGTTTTAACTTTCAGTATAGAACCCTAATGACTGTTAATACTGGTTTGATTATATTTATGGACCTCATCCATAGATATAATCAAACCTCCATAAATATAACACACTGACTTTTAACTTTCAGGTTAACAGTAGATGTTCAAGACTTCAAAAGTTCATTTAAACAAACAATATCTGGTGGACTAAGAGCTATAACGCAGGTTAGAATATTATATATATCTACTTCCGTTTCAATTTACAAAATCACTGCCATGCATTGCAGGAAAGAGAGGCAAGAGTCGCTTCATGATCTGTGTGCGCTCTGCGCGAGACGACAGTTGAATTAATCTACTACCAGTGTTGCACATACACTATATATATACTTTCAAATTCATAAATAGTTGTGTGCAGCTTGTTTTTACTCAGTAATGTTTCAGGTGATAGGTTCAGCTGTGAGTCTCCTAATAATTTCTCCACAATTGACTGGCTTGACGTTGATATGCGTGCCTACGGTCGTTATCGGCGGAACGTTCATAGGCTCTTTATTGAGGAAGCTGTCCAGAGAAGCGCAAGCACAGGTATATTAGAGATATGTGCTTTTTAAACGGTGTCTTTCTGTTTTATTCATTTATTATTAACTTTTTACTAGCCTTTAAGGGCTAAGGATTATAATAAAAATCTGGTACTATAAAATGTATATTCAACTTAATCCATAGGTTGCTGGTTTAAATCCGGCTCGAAGGACTACATGTTTTAATATATAATAGGTAGAGTAACCTACTGGAATTTCTCGAATTAAAAAGCGGGAATGAATTCTAATACTCTTGTGGTACTTTGACTTTAAACATGTCCAAAACTTATTGTTCAGTAGAGAACTTGAAAACCCTTCAATTGAACGTCCGTAATGTTTTCCACCTATTAGTAACAAATATTTATAGCAAGCACTCAGAATGTCAAGATGATACTTTTTAACTGACAGAGAAACACATTTTTATACACATACAGTACGTACATATGGATGACTTTATGCATTATATTGTAACGTGATTTACTAATTGTACTTATCCTTACCTGTTCTTTATCTTTGGTTCTGACCTGTTTAAATGTTTAAGTGTGTAACTGTATTGTTTTATATAACCAATTTAAATATAACTTTAATATTAAAGATAAATTCATGAGGTATCTGTTATTGGCTTTACTAACTAAGTAATACTATATATTGTCTATAAATTGTATAAGCTGTTGATTACCTAAAATAAATAAATAAATAAACATAATGCTTTACACAAACTGACAAGTGACTGAATTGCAACAAACTCAAAGACAAAAACCTAAAGAGACATAAATAACAACATTCATGGTTCTTTACAACTATGCACATATAAACGAGATATTTAGCATGATAATATTATTTAAGCGGTCTCGGTATTATGACGCTGTTACAAACGTCCAGGTCATAAGTTTATTAGAGGTGGTAGTGGATATAAACAAATATATTTCTAAATTAATATTAAACAACTTAATTCTATCGTTAGTGCAGGCGGGTATAGCGTTCCACCATAATCATCCATGACAAACATCATAAAACATTAGAACTTTTTATGTAGAATAGGGCAACCTGATTTGATCTACAAAATAGTCTAACAAATATGGTTTTTTTAGATAGAAAAAGCAACATTAGTTGCTGAGGAGGCAATATCAAATATACGTACAGTGAGGGCGTTCGCGGGCGAGGATAATGAAGCGGACATGTTTGCGCGGGAAAGTCAAGCAGCCGCCGATCTTAATATGGAGTTAGGGCTTGGAGTTGGTTTGTTCCAGGCCGGAACCAATCTGTTTCTCAATGGGTATGCTACACTTTTTTTTATATATGCATAAAACTTTATGTATTCGACACTTAATAATATGCAGTATTTTTTTTAATACATGATAATGGAAAGCTGCATCCGGCTGCGCTAACGGTTGACGCTGGCGGGGCACTAGTAGAGGATGATAGGATGCGCATGAAGTTAGAGCAGTTAGCCCATTGTGATGAATGGAATGGGAATTTACCACGGTAGTTTCTATGGAGGACCGCCTGGATCTAACATTGTAAATTGTTAGCAATAGGGTTACTATTCCCAATTACTAGCCCCCCACTACCGCATGTATTGGGAGGAAGGGTATTGTTAGTAATGTGGACTGATGACCGCATAGCTGGCAACGAACCATGTGATTGGAAGCGTGGGAGGGAATGGATGCACCCGTAGGGAAATTAACTGTCGTTATGATCAAAAGGAACGTGAACGATTAATAAGAACGTGAATAATGTGTTTCAGTATGGTGTTGGGTACGATGTTCCTCGGTGGCCACCTGATGTCTTCCGGCAGTATGTCGGCTGGTGACGTCATGGCATTCTTGGTCAATGCGCAGACTGTGCAGAGGTCTGTTGCGCAACTTTCATTGCTCTTTGGATCGGTCGTGAAGGGACTCAGCGCTGGTGGACGGGTCTTTGAGGTTAGATTCTATTATATTATTCAATAGAGTTGTTTTTGAATGGTAATTAATTTTACTAGAGGCAGACTGTAAAAAGTCGTCTGCGAGGGTTTCAGCCGCCTAGCATCGATTTCTCTATATTTATCAAATATTCTAAATGTATACAAATAATTAAATTTTAAGTGTCTGTAATTTCAAATTAACAGCTAATCTCTGAAATGGCTAGACCAATTTTAAAGTAACTTACGCTACTATTATCAATTCAATTCCACGCGCAGTCGTCATTTACATTACAGAAACCCTACAGTCTACTACACAGTGTTGTAATAGTGGCCAGAATTTTCGTCACATGTATTTTTATTTTATCTGTTATGTGTTATTATGTCTCTGACAGACTGAACGGATTTCATGATTCTATTTCTGATCAATTTATTTCAAGTAAGTTTTAAAATATATTGATTTAATTATTTCTGGGTTTAGTTTGTCAAAAAATTAATAAGTTGTTAACTTTTTTTTAATAAAATTGTAATTTACAAAATAATATGTTTCATATTTATTTATGTATTTACAGTATATAAACAAGGAACCACACATGGACACGTCTGGCACTAAGGTCATCAAGTACCATGAGCTTCATGGAGATATAGAGTTCAAGAATGTCACATTCGCTTACCCGACTAGATCTGAAGTTGTAAGTACTACTTTTTTCAATGAAAATTTTTCTTTAGGAGCACAATCGAAAAAAAATAATTATAACTCTTTAATTGTATATTAGGATTTAAGTGGTTTATGATAATTATAACACACGAGGCGGAATTTCACCCCGAACCAGGCGAGGATGTAGTCACAATATTATATTTATTCATTTTAAATTACAATAAGACCTCGCTTAATGCAGGGAATACGTTCCAATAAGCATATCATTAACAATTTAAATATAAGTTACAGGTGATAGTGTGATATACACATTATAATATCAAGTAAGAGTATGCATGCAATATAGTATGTCCATACTTTTGATTGTGTACCCCAAATATAACTTATTCTTCACTTTGCTTTGTATTTGAATATTTATACAAAAACTTTTTGGTTATTACAGGCAGTATTGAAAAACTTTAACCTAAAAATACCTGCAGGAAAGACTGTGGCCATAGTAGGTACATCGGGTAACGGCAAGTCTACCATTATAGCTTTATTAGAAAGGTATGTGTATTCTTTCTTTGATTGTATTCTCTTTGTTTCCTCTAAAAGTAACTAAAACTTCAGCATATCTTTTTTTCTAAATAAAAGAGACAATGTAATTTTATTATTTATTAATAATAAGGGAAAAATCAATTTTATTATATTATTATACATGAGTAGCACGACGTGCATAAGGTCGTAAAAAGCATTGGTATCATATGCTCAGGAATAAGAACAGAAAATGTAATAATAAAATTACATTTTCTGTTCTCATTCCTGAGGACTAAGATGTTATGCCTTAATGCCAAATATGATTTTATTAGTATCAGTAATGTATAGAGACTAAAAATCGTATAAATAGATATTTTCTTAATATTTATATGTCTTTGAAGTATAATGATTCATATAACAGCCTCAGTGGTCTAGTGGTTAGTTCCGACAGTCGCGGGTTTGATTCCTCATACGGTACAAACATTTGTATTCATGAGTGTGATTGTTTGTATCGGTGTAGGTGTATTCTATGTATTAATGCTTATTCTCAATATCTTTGCAGGTTTTACGACGTAAATGATGGTGAAGTGACCATAGATGGTGTCAATATTCAAGATTTGGATGTTAAATGGCTGCGGGGACGAGCTCTTGGTCTGATCAGTCAGGAGCCAGTGTTGTTTGCGACATCGATAAAAGAAAATATAAGATACGGCAAGCCGGAAGCAAGCGATGCTGAGGTTAGTGTGATTATTTTTTAAGATCTATTATGTCTTAATCAACTTCAGAGTTTAATTTAATTTGACGGTATTTTTTTCTTTTCTTGTGTTGAGTCTTTTTTAAACTGAATTTAACTTTTACAGTTATGTACCATGTGTGTTTTTTATTTTTAGTTTTTCCCATATCTATGTTATTTGTGCATCGTTCCACTAGTCTTTTATAGATGAAACAGAGTGGCGACGCATTTTATTTTTATCTAGTTATTATAGGACTGTAGTATAGTGTATTATGACCAGAAGCATAGTGCAAAATTGAAGGCTATTGTTATTTATCTATCTATGCCTTCATGTCAAGCCAGAGAACCTTAGTGTCTATATCACACATTATAATTTAATTTAATAATAATAATTTAATCATAATCATAATTTACTTATTTGCCTGCTACATGGTAATTTTGGTCTTACAATATAATATAAGTACACAACATGGCAAATATTGAAAATGATATGTCAGTAAATTTCATTAAAATATTATAATAGGTACCACAATAAAATAATAAATCACACATGAATAATAACTCGTTGCATGAATGTATGAGTTTATAAATTACTAGCTGACCCTGCGCAACTTCGTTTGTGTCAGTTTTCCCCGTTTTTTGTTATATTTTTTCATTGCAGCTCTGCTCCCATTTGTTGGAATGTGATCTTATGTAGCCTATTACCGCCTTGACCAATCGAGACCAAAATTTTATCGAAGGTCGACCTTCGGGGCTACATCGTTTACCACTCAAAAATTCCGATCGGACAAGGCCGGGTTTCTCGCAATAAACGCGCCCCACTCAAGTCGTGACCTGGTGTGTAAACAACACACTGGTAACAAACCTAGTATTAGTACAGATAATATATATAGTACCTATATACCTATTGTGTACCGCAGTTAACGTGGTCGACTGCCATAGTGATTGTGGTGACCACTAATTACAGAATATTATATTTTATGTTTTTAATATCTTCTATATATGTTAGTCCTTAATGTACATATAATAAGGTCCAATATTGTTACATAAATGATATTAAGTTGCCTGAAATAAATATATATATATCTTTAATTAACTTCACAGGTATACAATGCAGCGAAGACAGCATACGCCCACGACTTCATCCTGAATTTCCCTGAAGGATACGACACGTTGGTTGGCGAGCGCGGTGTCGCGCTCAGTGGTGGACAGAAGCAACGAATAGCAATTGCAAGGGCAGTGTTGAAGAATCCACCTATATTAATACTAGATGAGGCTACGAGGTACGTGTTCTTGATAGATAGATAGATGTGTAAATAATTTATATGTAATTTCAGCATATCTACATTTAGTGGATATATGCAAATAATAGCTTCTACTTATATACGCGAAACTTCCATTTGTTTCCCTGTCTTATTCTATTTTCTTTTGTTTTTCCTGCTTACTTTCTCATTTGCATACATCTATATTTCCCTTTCACGCAACGTTCCTGTTCATGCATTAACCTATTCAGTCCCACATATAAAGATAATCATTTTTAAGCTTTGTTACTTTTAGTTTCTTAATTTAGTTTTGTTTTTTAATAGGTTAATTCTCGCCCTATGAGGCTTATAACCGGTTATCCGAGGGTTGTTGCCCCCTGAGTTGATACCGGGGCAAAGGGAGGCCCCAACCTTCATCCCCCTAGGGGGATGAGGATGTCTAGTGTCAGTCAGTACATATATTCATACTTCACATTATATATAATGCAGTGCGCTGGATTCAGCGAGCGAGCAAGTAGTGCAGGCGGCGCTGGATACAGCGTCTCGCGGACGTAGCGTGTTGCTGGTCGCGCATCGTCTCTCCACCGTGCGTGCTGCAGACCTCATCCTGGTACTACACGGGGGTGTCATCGTAGAGGTATGTATATATGCATTTGGTTGGGGCCCTGGTGGTCTGTATATGCTTATGTGGTTTTTTTATTGATGATAATGGTATGGTGCTCCCACGTGTACTAACGCTATACGCTGCTTGGGCACCAGTGGAAGATGATAAGATGAATATGAGGTCAGGTCAGTTAGCTCATCATGACAAATTCACCTTTTTGTTTGGAATTTGCCATGTTGTTTCCAGAGGGAACCGCGAGGTCCACCTGACATGGTACATTGCTAGCAATGGGGTCATCAGTCCATATTTGTAACAATCCCCTTCCCCCAAAACCAATATGGTTATACCCATTTCAGACACCAGCTTCTCACAATAATTTATTTGTAAAAGTAAGTTATTAATATTTTGTTAATCAAAATACTCAATGTATTTGTTGCTACTCATGTTTGTGAGGAGAAATAAATAAAATTATTATTATACATAAAAAAAAAAAAAGAATTTGTATACTATAGTTAAAAAATTTGTAACTTTCAGCGATTTCACCCGCGTGAAATATTATAAATCTATATGTTATTTTGATGTATAAAATTATTATATTACTGTAAAGGTTCATCATAATTCGTTCAGTAGTTTTTGCGTAAAAGAGTAACAAACATCCGTCAATACTCACAAATTTTCGCGTTTATAATATTAATAACTGTGATTATTGCGTGTAGCGATGTTTTGTCGGACAATCTAATTACGGTAGTTTAATAAATTGCTGGGACTTATCGACATTGACATTCGCTGTTACTTCAGTTAGCTCGTGACTCGGTTAGTCGAAACTTCGAGAGAGAATAGAGTAACTTCGAAAGATAACCCTTTATTTACCCTTTTACTAATAACAAATATATATCTCAGCTGTAGTACAATTACTAATTTAAAAAAAATGTATACTGCACTTGATAAAAATAAGATTATTTTCGTACTTAGTCCATTCTTTGACGGCGGTCATTCGGTTCGGTGGTCTAGTGTTTTAGCGCTATTGCTTTACATTCGATGGTCTCGCGGTCGATTCCTTGCACGGTGCAAATATTTGTATTCATAGAATGATTATTAATTTTTCTTTGAATGTTTTATATGTATATTATGTATGTATTTACAAAAATAATCGAAGTATTTATATCAGTTGTTTAATCTTATGTCATCAATATTAATGTTTTGTGTACAATTTTCAGATGGGCACACATGATCAGTTGAAGAAGCAGAAAGGTTTCTATTGGAATCTAATCAGACAACAAGATCAGGACTCGGAGACATCCAGAAACTTATGAAACTAATTCATAATTAGGTGATAGCAAAAATTTATAGCAAAATTTTCTTTAGATATATGGATGTGGTCTATGCTTGGTTATAATATAATTAATTACAGGGTGCAAAGGGAAAGTTTTCGTAAAGTAAAGATGTGATTGTACAAGTAGATAGTGTCGGTGGATCGGCGACGGCACATCGCTTTACATTCGATTATTGCGAGTTCTAATCCTCACACGATGAAACAATCGTATTTATGAGTACGATTGTTTGGTCATTAGTTATGCCCATACCATTCTAATGCTCTTATTAGGACCAGATATGTCACTTGAATAGGACACCTCTGACTGATGAGTCAATTTTCTATTGATGTCAGATAGAAACCCTGCATTCTTGATAATTTCAACGGATAAATATAAATGATATTATTAGCTCTAATCCCTGTTTTTTATACATAGTCAATTGTTTCCTAAACACCTCAATTTCTGCGAATTTTAAACGAAACTCAGCTTTTTTTAAAAATGCATTTGTGGAATTGTTAAACTTGCATTCCATTTTAAAATATCGCTGCATTTTTCATTAGGCTCAAGTTAGTTAACTGGGCCCATAACCTGATATTTGTTGACACTTAATATAAGTCAATTGATATAATAAGTAAATTTAATTCACTTGAAATTTGCATTAGTAAAATGTTATAATAGAGCCACATATCATGACGAGTATGGAACAGAGAGCGGAATCTGGGCAAAGTAAATATTGCAAGTCTAAATGGAGATAATGACATTTAAAAAAAAATTTTTTTTTTGACAAAATACAGATTTAATTAGTATTAAATACTGTAAGTTTTTGATTGCTTATTTATTTATTTAATAATGGTAGTATAAATGGGTCAATAGAGTTATGATATAGTTACAATTGTAACAAAACAGAAATAATACATTTGTATGCAATTGTAACATGTTTGGTTATTTATTTTATTTTATTATGATCTTCGTGTGTACGTTAGACGACATACTCGTATTTGTCTAATTTAATAATTTCGTCTTGACCTTTGTATAATATTTTGACAGATAGATTGACAGCTGAAAAAATGATTAGCTGGAAAAATGATACTATGGTATCCAAATGAGATAATTAAATAATTTCTCTTAATTTGACAACTGTCAAAACAAGTCTTATCATAGATAAATGTTTAGGTTTTCGGTTATTAAATTGCAGTCTTATTTTGTAAAATCTAATAACTAATTGTGCATTTCTTTTCAATTAATGTTTAAGAATAATGCATACAATATTTATTATATTGAATAGTTTTGATATCTTTTTTAATTATTATATTTTTGATGACTCAGTAAATATAAAAGTCCATAAATAAATATTTATTAATTTTTTGTGTAATAATTTCATCATGATATTACTTATTAACTGTTTTATATAAGTTTCTGGAGAAGTATATCGCTATCAAATAGGAAAAAAATGTCACAATCTGATTATGTATTGACGCAACGTCATTTAAACACTAGTTCTGTCACACTGGAACTGTAGTATAATTATATAATGCTTATATATGCCTTATAATTTAAGTATATTGTATAGCTAACAATAGTTCTAATATTATTATGTATATATATATCTCTCTCTCTCTCTGTCCAGCTATTTCCCATTTCATTTGGGGTCGACTCTCCTAGTATTTCTTCGCCGGGCATGTATGTCCATGGACGTCGAGTTTCGTCGAGTCGTATATTTCCGTTTTCTGTAGGACATTAATTACGAACGTGCCAGGTTAGTCAGATGTCTTACTCGTCTCTTTGGGCCGGTGTTAAGGTTCAGGACTTTTTTTTTAACAAATGATGGTAATATATTATTTTTATATGTACATTGTATCGAATTATTTAGTAGCTGCAATAGATACACGTTTGCAAACCATTCTAAAACGTCATTTCATACCAAAACATACGGAGTTTTAGAGATTGTAGCCATGAATGAGATATTAATATTCAACGTTCTCTGGTAATGCTATTTATAAAGAAAACTATTGTCTACGATTTGTCTATGACATTTTAAAATAGATATTAATATTCCAAGTATTATGATAATGGCAATATTTAAAATACTATAAATATTGCCATTATCATAATACTTGGAATTGAATATTATATATTTGTATGACATTTTAGAATATTTTATAATGTTTTTTTGTCGATAACAATATATATTAAAATGTCTAAAATTGATAAATATTTTGAAACAATGTTATAGAACAATGTCAAATGTGTTTTTTTATAGGACCAGGATACGACAGTTTTATCAGTGGTCTGAACAGAAAGGAAAATATATGTACAACTAAATTTTATATATGTTTAGGGAGTAGGCGAAAATAGGCCAGCACTGCTTTTTATTGAACAATATATTATAGAAATTCTATTATTGTTTCATATAAATAAAAGCTTGGTATAATGCATTTTATAAAATATAAAAATACATTAATATCCTTCACATTATAAATGTCGTTTTAAACAATATGTTTTCTTTAATTAAGTAATATCCATACAAAACAGGCTTTTGATATTTATTAGCGATATTTATGTTTTTGGTATAAGAATTATTGTTAACTATTGGTAATAAAAGTTGTTGGTTGTTATGCTTGATTTTTCTTTTATGATTCTAATATCTGAGTGTTTATTAGCGTCTGCCCCCTACCTCGTACGCCGGTCTATTCAGCGGGATAAAAAGTATTCTTTAGCCCAAACGTTCATTATATATAGCACCGTTAGCGCAGATGGGTGCAGCATTCCATTATCATAGATAAATGTATACATAAACAATATATATAGCGATAATACTTGACGTCCTCGGTGGTCTAGCTGTTTAGCACGCTGCCTTACTTCCGATGGTCGCGCGTTCGACACGGCACAAACATTTGTATTCATGAGTATGATTGTTTGTATCGGTCTGGGTGTTTGCTATGTATAATATGTATGTATTTACGAAAAAAATATCTATATATTTGTCTCGGTTGTCTAGTACCCATAACACAATCTCTAGCTAGATTAACTTGGGTCTAGATGGCGCTGTGTGAATTGTAATGAGATTATTGGTATTAGTATTAATATAGCCATTCTAAAGGACTAATGTTAACTGCATTAAAAATTCAGCACAAATTTTTTTATACTAATAAAAATACAGTTTTTTAATTAAATTAGGAATAAGGCAGTGAAGCTATTGCATGTTTGTTAAAAGTAAATCTGGGGCCGTAACCCGATTAGACCAATCCCCACAAGCAGCACCTATTCACGAGTATGACGGATCAGTATAGACTTCGTTATTACTAATTAATTAATAAAATATCTAAGTTTTTCGTTCATAGTATTAATTTGGTTTTTTTATATTTTGATATTTACAAAACATAGGTAGTATTTTATTATTCTTTCCCCAAGTAACACAATGTAACTTTTTCAACCATCTCATGGCGAAATTTATAAATTAGTATGTTTAATACACTGAACTAGTAAACAACCGGGGCACGACGCTCTCATTCTTTTAGAATAAAATATCCATTTATAATCTCTTCACATTCAAATAGAATAAAATAGAAAAACACATGGTCTCCGAAGAAGTTTAATATTTATTGCGTACGGGATCACCAAAATTGTTTGTACAATAAATTTCAATAACACTGACAAATTAATTATTTACACAGTAACTAATAATAGCTATCTACCATTATAATAATTATTATTATATTTACAAGATAACAAACTTTTTCAAATTAAACTTTAACATATTTAGATCAAGTATACTGATGGTATTTTAACAATATGGTTTCACCATATATAGCGATTTATATATAGTAATGAGATTTATATTTCGCTTTTTTTGTTGACTTTACACTATTTATTAAGTGAGTATGTTCGTTTTTGCACTTGAGAATGGAGTAGAATAGAATTTATTATAACACAACAATAATGATGTATACAACAACAAATAATTGTCGTAATAAAAAGAATACCTAATAATAATAAAATAGAAAAAAAGGCTTACGTACATAGACAATATTGTAATAGAGCATTTTTGTAAATAGTCTAAAATCAATATAATAATAACGAGCGTGCATGGCAATAGTTCATGCACGGGATTTTCATTTAATGTTAGACATAGACACCTATAAAAACACAATGTAAATTAGTTGTCTTTTAGAAAAATCAGATGAGTTTCTTGCCAGCTAATTGAATCTGTATACTCTATACCAACTGGACAGTAGGGAAAAAAAATAACGTAAGCGGCTAAAATGTCCCACATGAATAAATTCTTTTTGAATTTAAAAATAGAAATACATTTATAAAATTTTTAAATTCCATTTTTTTTTATTTTCTGTTATTGCACTTTATTTCGTTATGTTATAGTGTAAAATCAACAAATGTCTTAAATTACTTATTAAGTTTACAATATTCTAATTTTAATTCCTTCGAATATATATATGAGATAAACAGGCGACTCACCTGTGACAATTATAGTTTTAATAAAAAAATATTGGGTTTATTTTTTACGTAGGTTATATAGGTACACAGATGTAGTGCGCATTTAAATATTGAAATAAAAAAATGGTAAACATGTTCCATTTTGGAAATGAAAATAAAATGCATATAGGTATATATAAATAGCATAATATATAATCATGACATAATGTCTTACTATCTCTTATCAAGTCTTCACTAGATTTTTATGCCATAGAAACAGGAGAATTGATACTTATTAGTTTCCGTTAGAGTTAAATTTCCTATGGCATATATACTTAATATCCAATAAATACATTATTTATTACTATATATTAATGTATAACAATAGTACTTTATTACAGTATTAGGTACTGTAAGAACTGATCTAAGAGCCATCATTACTGAAGTATCGGAATGTCTACAGTATCTATAAATTTTCAATATCCTTTAATGAAATCGTTGTAGCTCACTATCAGAGCATTTTTTTAAAGTTATCTCTATTATATTATATTATAGCGATTTACAAACTGCATCGCAACCTGGGGTTGTGAAAAGCTTTACCGAGGAGAGGTATTGGCGGGAGGGGGAGGGGGAGGGAAGGGAGGGTGTTACGCGGATAAAAATAACGATTAAATTAAAAATATAACTACCCACAATAACAAAATCGCGATTTACCACATTTATATCAACAATAATATTATTTTTAATATAAATGTGTAAATCGAAGGTTAAGGTATGTATGTATAATTGGCAGATATTAGCAGACGCTGTGAGACTCCGGTAATGAAAGCCCTAAATGCAGCAAAGTGTAATTACACTGACACTTTTAATAATTTCCATTCAATACCACACTTAATAATAAAAAGCATTAACTTAAAAAAACAACTTTTAGCAAAATCGATTTTATCTTCTTAACAGTCGTTTACCCTTATATTTTTGGTTAATGTAGTTTATTATTAAGATTACAAATGAGGTGTAATGCACTGAACTTACAAGGTTCATGTTGGTGCAAAGTATTGTATGTTTAACACTTTTTACCTAATCATTCTAGTTGAAAATCTATTCAATTCACAAGTTATTAAAATCTATTTAAGTATAAAATAATCAACCCGTGTGATATTAATATTTTTTACATTATTTCCACACTGTTTTTTTGCTGTTTTAAAGTTTCGTTTACACAATCTTTGCATATCTGTTTATAGGCTCCCCCTGTCCTCTCGAACATCTTCCTGTGTAAAAACGAACATGCCCTCCGATTAATCCCCCCTCCAATTCAAACGGGGATCGAAATTACGACGGCTTGAGCCGAGGTTCGAACCCCTAGCGGCGCCATCAGACTAAAATCGTATCCATCAGGTGGGAGTTGGCCTTCAGTCGCTCCATCAGTCCCTCCGCGGGTTTGGAGTGCCATCTGCACTCGCCCCTATTGTCCGGTGAAGCTGTAAAGGCCAACTGCGGCCAACAGCATTAGAGTAGTCCGAAAAAATAGGCCCTCCAGTATTATTAGTAAGGGACACAATACCGAATAAGCCTAGTAGCAAATTCTTCAAAGTTGCGCGTAAGACATAACATATATTATAAATTAGCAAAAGCAGTAGTTGTTGTTAATTTTAAATGTGATGGATTATACTGTTAATTCAACAACCAATGTGCCTAATATAGCTAGCTGATTGTGTAAACGCTCTTTAAGCAACGTCTAGTTTGATGACAATAAAAAAAAAATAGGAATACTACTATAAAAAAAAAATAGGAATACTATCAATTGTTACCATATATACAAGAACGGTTTTCAACTAGATAAATGTAACATTTATTATAAACACTTAATTGACTTCGAAATACAATATTGCAATTATTAGGTACATATGATAAAGGTATATAGGTACATATTCATTATATACATTGCATTTAAAATATGCTAGGGATTTTAAATCTTAGTCAATTCTTTTGAAGAAATTCCACACTATCATTTCATTGTGCCATATTGAATTACAAACGACACTAAAATCAGGGGTGTAGCCCCCAGCAGAGCAGTGGCGGGTAGAGTCTTAGATGGCTTCTTAGTATTGTGTGTAACAAAAAAAGTCGATTTATTACAAAGTACCAGTCGACACAATTTCACGCTCACCACAATTAGAGCCGGATTAACATGTTTACTCCAAACTTAATTTTAACGAAGGGCGAGGTAAAACTAATTGTCTATTAATTATTTTCCTTGCAATATCTTCATACTTTCTCATCTTTTAAATATATCTTGAACTTCTGAAATATATGTTATATTTCAAAACTAAAATTATCCAAATCGATCCAACTATTTTCCAGTTTTAGTGAGACAAAGAAACGTCAAATAATTTTTGTATATATGTAAATATTTTAGGTGTAGCATACAGTAAGCAGATAACAATATGGCTATTCGGTTAATATGACTTTTTTGTTGTAACTGAGGTATGTATGTAACCCTGTATAAGGTAAAAACTTTAAATAAGTTTTCCTTATTTTAATTGTGTACATACACATAAAACCATAGATTTTAATGTCCATTTATTCTTTATTGTAAACACATAGGAAAAGAAAAAAAGATATGATAAATGTAATGTACAAGGGCGTGATATATATATGATATCTCTTCTTAGAGATTCTAAGAAGAGATATCATCTTTACATTTGTTTAGATTTATCCTACATTCCATTATTAATATTAGATCGCAACATAATTTTGAAAATAATTGATTATTTATACAAACGTTACGTTTTAATTAATCTATTTATTATATTTTGCACTGAATATTAAATTATTGAAATTTACTAAATATAAATTTCTTCAAAATGTTTATATCTATTAAAAAAAGACTTGCTATCGTACTAGTAAGAGGGTTATTGTGTTATTTTGTACCTTTACCAGAAGTCGTAGATCTCACATTAACAATAATGGCAGTAGTTTCACTGTGATAGGTTATACAAGCTAGTACTACCATTTTCGTCTCGTAGCTAAACGACTTGAAAAGGTTTTCGTTCTAGTATCAACTGACTGTACATAATACATAATATTGGTTTTTTTATAGCAAGAAGGACAAATGTGCTTGCGGCTCACTTGATGGTTAGTGATTACCACAGCCAGGGGAATTGCATGTGCATGACCGGCCTTGAAAGATGAAATAAGCTCTTTTCTTTAAGATTTCAATATCGTATCGGTTCGGAAATACCAGTGCGGAAGGTGATTCTATAATGTTGCCGGTTGTACGTGGCAAAAAGCCACAATTTCCTATCTCAATGGTAGGCAATATACATATGTAATAAATTAACAAATATGTTTTTTTTCTATGGATATTCGGTACTGTATGATCAACTTTCACATATTAAATCTGTATAGTTTTGGCATCTAAGTAGATCATCATGAATTGTATGCGAAATTACAAAATAGATTAACTGTATAATTGCTTACCTATATATAAATTTCTGTACATTTACGTATAGAATAGTTTTCTAGAATGAAACTATTTTCAAAGGGCTGTGCGATTACAAAAGTTTAGTTACAAAGAGTTTTTGGAAACCAGTATAACTGGATACTTTTAATCAATAAATAAATATAGGTATTTACGGGAGATTTAATAATTTACAATTTTGCCGGCGTTATACGATAGGAAAGAAAAATGTAAACGTTATTACCATGCCTGATGATTGTGTAACAGTAAATTAAGCAGAAAAGAAATAGAAATAAGTAAAAAATTGTTGATAATTTATTACAATGTTGTTGAAATAAAATTGAATGTTTACTAATTATGTAAATATACGATTTTTTACTTTTTTTTATGGACTCTTGTGTTACGTTAGAATAGAAAAAGTTTTCAGTTTTATAACTTGATACTATCTAGTATATGTAGTATCAAAATAAAATTATTTAATAGAAAGTTTAGTTCCTCTTAAAATAGTTTCATGTACAAATTAATTTACATTGTATACAGGATGTTGACAAAGACTAATTTCTAATTTTTGATAATTAATTTGACAGAATATTCTTTAAATATTATATCTCAATTTTGTTCATTATTTGTACGTAAAATTATTATATTTTAGACATAGATTAATTGTTTTCTAGTGCTTTTGTAACGTATACCCTAATTTCGGTCGTCTTTCTATAAATTTTTATAATCCTTCAATTTCACTATGCTATGTTTCATATGTCATTTTCACTATGTTATGTGTCGAAAATTTAAAACTTTCCTCATAAATATTGGAAAATTAAGTGATACATGGATTTTATAAAAATAAACAGCACTTATAGTGCTATTTAAAGGCTATAGTCTAGTATTAAAACCAATAGCACTGCGACCTATATAGATTTATTGTGCCCGCCCTTTTTCAAAGTTCGCGACCTAGGCCCGTCATGGACAAGAATTGAAGGAGGAGTCATGGTTTTTATCTCTACACGATGTACGACCGTGTATTACAAATGAGTTTTACAGCGCTATATTTATTTGTCGCGCTCGAAAGGACAATAAAGGACATATTTCGCTTATGCTTGAGTGGACTACAACCACATAGGATATGCAGTGGCGTTTCCTCTTCTGCTTGGCAAATTTACATGCTAAATTCGAAAGATAATCTGATTATCTGATAATATAATGTCAAATTAATTTCAAACTTCACTTTGAGATACTCAAAGAACTTTGGTGTCACATCCTGTATACGTAATTACTAACAGTACGACCTACTCCAATAGACAATTATTATCTAAATTATTACAAATTAATTTATCTAATTGGATCAACATAAATTTCATTATTTTATGGAATCAAATTATAACATCATTATTACATGCTGTGAATGACGGAAAGGTTAGTCTACACAGACGACTTACTTAATTACTTTACACTAAAGTGCCTTTCTGACCGGATAAGCCAGTGTTTCCCAACGTGGCCCATGCCCCACCCCACGGGGTTATTTGATTGTTTATGGGGGGCAATTCGTAATATGAATTTCAATTTTTCAATGTTTTGAAAATTTACTTATCGTTTCATTAGCAATTTACTACTGATTTCGCCTTAAAATCCATTATTTAAGTTTCATAAGTGAACAATTCGTTTTTTTAATATTATAAATCATGTGTGTTACATATGTAGGGGGCAGAGAGTAAAAGAAGAAAGGCTAAGGTGGGGTATGGCACTAAAAATGTTGGGAAACACTGGTATAAGCGCAAATTCGTTTCGCTACAGAAACGTATGTATGCGCTTAAATAAAGTGATTAAAATAATACATAAAATGATTCTTTCTTGGTAAAAGAATCGCTATTGAAACTACTCAGTGAGCTCACATTTAAGTACATCAGTAATAAATTACACAGACTGTAGCTAAATACAAATAGAATACCCTCAGTAATAGAGAAACGAAATCGCACTAACCCGGTCAGAATGGGACAGGTCAATAGCTTAATTAACGTAATTTACCATGATTTCGAAAGGTAACAATTCCTATTATCAACTCCATCTGGGAAAACAGTCATCAAGGTATAATATTATGAAGGAAGGTATATATTTCTTTTAAATCATCTCATATGGTTTGTCAAGCATTGCGACCTATACCATACTTATTGTTAGAAAGGTGTACCCTTTTTATACCATACGGTCAAAAAATGTGCAGTACACATACTAATGACTGCCGCCCGTTTCTACCTGCATAACTATAGGAATAACTCGTTAACTAGTTTTCCTTTTTTTAAGTACACTCGCCACCTTTTACCATCTGAATAAACTATAGGAATTACTGTTTTTTCCCTATTTTAAGTACAGTCCCATACAAAATAGTTGATAAACTAATAATCATCATAATTTACCAGTAACTACCAAGTAGACTATCCTAATCAGCCATTACAGCCTTAACTACGCGGTTCATCGTCATCGCAGACCGAAGTGCGTCAACGCGGATGCTAGAAGCAGGAGGCAGGTGCCGCTGGAAGTGATGCCGTGTATCGCGCTGGTGTTACGTCGTAGTATTGCGGCCATTTTGTTACCTGAAATATGTGATGGTTAAAAAAATTGTCTCCAAGTATAACTACTTGTTTAATAAGCCGTGTCTCTATGACGGATTTCTCCAAGTAAAATAAAAGTTAACATTGTATTTGCGTTAGTTTCTAGTAACCCGTCCTAAGAGGCTAAAATCTAACCTAAATCCAGCTGTCCATGGATTGTTGCCCTCGGGTGGATGCCGGGGCGAGGGGTTCGTCCTTTCCTAGAAGGAATGTTTGACCTTGGCCTCAACCTTCACCGGATGGGGATGACCAGTGTCAGTTAGCAGGTTAGATATTTTAGAAGCTGTGCACTGTTCTTCTCAACTGAAGTTATTAGCGTAATTGGGAAAGGATAGTGATAAAAATATGACCTGCACCAGAAGCTGAGCCGAGCCGGTGCTATATTAATAAATGACGAGTTTAATTATAAATGGATAGACATTCTGGGTGGTCTAGCGGTTTAGCACACTGCTTTACTTCCGATGGTAGAGGGTTCGATTCTTTGCATGGTGCAAACATTTGTATTAATTCGAATGTTTTATACATACATTATATTTATATATATAATGTATGTATTTACAAAGAAATATGTACCTATGTATACATATCTAGTATCCGTAACAGAAGCTCCCCTTGACACTACATGGTGCCGAGTGGATGGTCCAGGATTATTATTATAATAGATGTTATGATATTGGATACTTACTGCCCTCAGACACGAAAACATGTATCGACGCTGGTTCAGTATTGCTCGCGCTGCACGTATAATTTCCTGAATCTTTCAGCGTGGCACCTCGTACCGTCAGCCTGGACTGCGTACGGGCCCCCGGCTCTGTTTCCACTGTGATACCACCACGCGTAGCATCGTAGTTGATCATACGATCGTTGTGATACCAAAACACATACTGTGGCGGAGTCGGACTCTATAAATTAAAAAAAATCGTAATTTTATACATAATCTTTATTGCACATTTAAATACAAGATTTCATGTACAAATTAGAATTTTTGTTAGCAAACGAGAACTTATCTCTATAACAGATCTCTTCCAGTCAACCTAACATAGCGTGATACAGGAAGTGGTGTGTGGGTTACAGTTAGGTCAAGTCGTCTAACCTTTAACTGAATATCCAAGCTTATTATAAAATTGAAAAGTTTGTAAATGATAATAATGTTTTTGTAGACAAAACTTAAAATTCATAGAGCGGTTTCTATGTTGATTATGGCATGTCTCCTATTTGTTACTGTGCATTCATTTTAAAAAGGAACACGCAAGTTTCTTGCTTGTTCTTTCGTCTTGTGATCTTGATCAGTATTCAAGTGCTTATATAGAGTTTATTTAAATGAAGATTATTTCTAATTCTATAAATATAATGTATGTTTATGGATATTTTCTATTTTGTTATTTCATTATTCTGATTAATGTCATAATAAATATTTTGAATGCAATAAAGAGATTGTTCATGTATTTATTACATTATGCCTTAATGTTTAATTTTATAGATGTACGTAGCATTTCAGAAAGCTATAATCGTAGGCTTTCTACTGAACAAAAAACCTGTAAACGGTCTCTGTCTTATTCTAATACAAACAGTTCACATTATGTTGCTTTATTCATATACCGTATTGGTATAAATATTCCGTATAGCGTAACTTACATTAAAGATGAGGCAGTTTAAAAATTCATCAGTACGCATGTGTAGCTGGTACGATGTGATTACGTTTGTATAGAACGCTTATGTTTTATTTATATGCTCTTGATTTATTTTATATTCATATTTTTGGTAGATAAAGTAGATATAGACATAAATATGAAATGTATGTATATGTTTATAACATTTGTACTCGCATACAACAGCGTTTGTTAACAACTATAGTAGATAACACCTACCAAATGTATGATTAAAATTAACATTCTGTTGTAATTTAAATATTATAAGCGAATAATTGAGAACATCGATGCCTAATGGTTTACTGTTGCAATTAATTTTTTGTTTTATAATTTATTCTGTAGGTTTTGATCAATTTTGAATTATTTATTTCCAATTTAGATCTAATTTAATTCGATCTTATTGGATAAGATATCTGACATGAGGGTAAGTCAGATTGGTTTACAACCATCTCAGGTCATACCCTCCGATTGAGGAGTTGGTCATCAGCCGCTCCATGAGTACATCCGTGGGGTTGAGTGCCATCTGCACTCGCTCCTATCGTTCGTAGTAGCTGGGCCAGCTGCGGCCAACAGCATTAGAATAGTTCAAAAATATCTCGGATCACTTACAGCATAAAAAATTGCTATTAGCTTACATCTTTCCACACACTCCGTGGTTCATTTGCATTCATAACTCGTTTCATGCATACACTCCTTTCGGTGACTTGACTCCTACATCACATAAGAGGCGATATATCTTACCTTTTCGACTATACATATAAGATGTATAACACTGCCGAGATCAACATGATGCTCTCCGGAGCCCAAAATGAAAGCTTCTGGGATCACTATTTGTAGGCGCACGTAGTGTGACACTATTCCTGTCCGGGTTGATACCTGAAACGTGTAATATTTTTTTTTAGTTTCACATCTATAGATTATTATGGAATAGTACAGTGAAGGTTGATAGGATGAGCATGACATCAGATCAGACTTTTAACGTGTAATTTCAGAGGAGCTTTCTCCCGCATACACTTCGATTGTGGAATGAACTATCTGCCGAGGTTTTCGCTAAACTACAGCATGGGATTTTTCTGTGCTAAGGTTTCTTAAGGGTCTATAACGCACTGATACTAGTGTTCCAGGCGTCCATAGGCTACGCTAAGAATTAACATCAGGCCGTAGGTATTCATTTGCATTTAAAATGTGCTGAAAATCTTCTAAGGGCGAACCAGGAGGTTAGGTTAGGTGTTTCTCTAATTCGCCATTACGTTGACCTATCTGTAGGTGTTGTAGGGCAGGCGACATCTCGTTTAAACTATTCTGATCTACTCCATGTTAGTTAGTTCAACGTGGCGAGTAATAATACATAGTACTCGTACTTTGTAATGATTCTATTGTCCATTCAGAACGCAATTCTAACTGCGAAAAGTATGAAATACCTACTACTATTTGAAAAAATTTCGAATAACATTATATGTGCGAAATAAATACTACTATATCACACATAGCACAAAATCGAAAGTAGAGTAACAACTGGACAATGAATATTGAATACTATCACAATCAATATATCATGTACCCAGTAATAATATTGTCTACATATTAAATAATTCCAATACTAAGAAAGGTATTCTCATCGTTTATTCAAACGATTTGGTTAAACGTTTCTACAATATGTTATAGTATATCTCAAGTATCTAATGAATAATTGTTTTCTGGGTCCACCTTTGTACTTATAGTATTAGGTACATACGAGAAGGGTACCAGTGAGCAAATATAGATGGTATAGTAAGAATTAGGGATGCCAAACATACGAGGAGCCTCGCAGAAGTATGAGCTGTTTTGTCTTTGATACAGTTACATTTTCCTTCTTGTACAAGTTTTCACGAGATTTTGACGTATGAGATACGATAATATATAAGATCATAAAACCAAATCCAATAATATGAGGTTTTATTAAATTTTTTACTTCGTGTTATGATGCAAAATGCTCTAAAGTTGGCAACCCTGGTAAGCACACAACCCTGACTATACAATAAATTGCCCGAGGGCGCCTAAATCTGACATTTTACAATTAATTGTCTTAAAACATCTACCTACGACACGATTCGGTGCCCGATCGGGTTCAGATTGCTGTAATAATTTCGTTGCTCCGAATTGAAGGTAGATTTGACTTATCATAAGTGGCAGTAATAGATCTACGTGAACATTATCATAATGCGATTAGAAGATAGAATATATATTACTAGATGTTCAGTTTTTAGTCAGGTTAGTTTAATGCTTATTTAACTTATACAAACTAATAGTATAGTTGAATGAAATAACTCCCGTTTTAGTGCATCCATTAAAGAAAGAATTTATCAAGTACGACCACGTAAAGGTTTTTAAAATGGCTATTTCTCGAATCGTTTCAGTTAAATACGTCAATTGAAGTTCGAAATTGCATCGTACTTTACCAGGCGGAGGAAGTAAAAATAGAAATGGAGAAAATAAAAGATGTATGGCAAACGAAATTCTAAAGGAGCTCTAGAAATTTGTGTACATTTGGTAAATAAATAAGAGATGTTTGAGAAGAGTTGTACAAATTACTAGGTAAATTTTCTTAGCCTTAATTGAAACTTTCAATGTAGGTACCTTTATATATATATAGTATTTGAGATGGCAAACAAGCTGATAACCGTTGCTTATGACGTTAACATGTGAGTCACCTGATTACACTCTAGCCATTCGAAAGGACTAAAATGTCATGGATCTTATATCATATCCTGTAATTTAATTGTCTTACCTCAAAAAGCTGCTAGGCGGCTGAAATAAGCGAGATTGAGATACCCACGCATACGCTTTATTTAAAAGTCTACCGCAGCTTAGAATTATCTATGTAAATGGGTATCTATTTATAGAGGGTTAATTATAAAGGTTACATGTACCAAGTAATAGTATTCATGAACATGATTCACAAAGAAGCAAAGAGGAAAATAGAAAATACTTTTTAATAGCTTCGTAAAAACTGCGTCGTCACGTGATCAATTTAGTATGAAATTTCAAAATTTATTTTATCAGATTTTTCCTTTGTTTTCAAGTGAAAATGGTACGTTTTTATGAGTAGGAAAGTGTGAAAAAGACCTACGCTTATATAAGCTTTACGATTAACTTTGTGCCCCTCCGAAATCCGAAACGAGGATTGAAATTACGACGCCCTGAAACTTGGTTCAAACTCCTAGCGGTGCCTTCAGACTAAAGTCGTATCCGTCAGGCAGGAGTTTACCTTCAGCCGCTCCATAAGTCCTTCCGCGCGTTTGGAGTACCATATGCACTCCACCCTATCGCTCGGTGAAGCTGGAAAGACCAGCTGGGGTTTGCATTACTATAGTTCGGAAAAAAGTCTGTGCATTGTAGGTTAGTGCCTCTCCAGTTGGAATATAATTTATGTACATTGTCAATAGGTACATATGTATAACAGTATATCGGCGTAGTAATTCCTTCCAAAATAACAAAAGTCTTACAAAAGCAATAACATCTTTCATATTTGAATTTTTAAAGGACCACCAATATCGCAGATCTCTGTATTTACATAAAGAAATGATTTCGCGCATACACAATCGGTTCGGGGATTTGAAGTGAAGTGAAATTAAGTAAAACAACAAAGGCAAACCAGAATGTTTCACTGATTAAACATAAATAGCTAACGTAGACGTAGTAGATACTACGTAAATTAATATAGTATATATTTTTCTATCTACAGCAGACGTATATAATATAGCGTGACGTTTTGGAAACCTCAAGAATTGGGCTAAGATATATAAAAGAGTTTCTCAAATCCAACTTTTAAGTTCAAAAATACCGTAACTATTATCACAAACAAAGAGCTATTCAGTATATATTAACTACTTTTAAAAACTAAAATAAATTAACCTGGACAATTTACACAGCGCCATCTAGTCCCACGGTAAGCAGAGCTTGTGCCTACTGAATAATATAATTCAGCAACCTTTTCTGTATAAAGGAAAAAGCGTACATTACCCTCATGTTTTATTTCTCAATAGTTACGAGCAAATTTACCCGAAAAACTATAACAGTTCCGCAGTGTTGCCAGTGGAGTAGCAATTTATAAATAATATATTAAACATAATCTGTTCACAAAGGTATGGTAAAATAGCTGATTATAACACTGGACTAAATTATTATTAGTAAATACTATTTGATCCTTTACCGGAGCAAATTTCCGTAAAAAAAGTTATTTATTACTTCAAATTATATTGCTGTTATTATTTTATTCTAGAATATTCCATTGAAATTTAGAACTATTGATTATTAGGTTTATAGTGATAATTCAAAATAAATGAATCTTTATTCATGTAATTTATTAAGCCAAATCTATCGCTAATTTGTACTGAGAAGAATTGCAGGACAGTATTCACTAATACTTTTTAAAAATATATTAGTACTTGATTATAATAAAATAGATATTAATATTAACGTTTATTAGAATGAATACAGTAATCACTGTCAATTTAGAAAATATACCACTAAGTGATTTAAAAAAAATACATCGTCTCATTAATTTTTAAGAAATGGCAACACTGGTAGGTAAATACAGGGGCAGGAAACAATGTGTTTTATACATGAGAGCCCACAAAACAATCAGATGCGTACGTGATACGACTGCCAGTGTCTAAGGCACTACCAGTATAATGGGTGGTTGTAACTTGGTATTGGGAACGAAGCAGGCATTATGTTCTGTAGTATTTTTTACTTAGGCAGACTGCTGTTATGTAGGACAAGTGGATTTATGAATCACTACGTATTCCTCGCAGTCTCTATCGCTGTTTTATATTATTTTATGAAGAAAATAAAATAAATAAAATCATGAATTCAGGAAAGGTTTATTAACTTTACAACTCTAAATCTAATAACACCAATCTTAGGTCGTGGAAGAACCTCAAGTACCTACATCATGCTGCTTTTTATGACAATCATTGTACTGCCTGTCCGAATATGAAATGAACTGCCAGTAGCCTAAATTGTCATCGCTGTCTAATTTTAAATTGTGTGTTAAAAAATTGTATTTGCGAAAATTATCACAGTAACATCGCTATTGTATGTATAGTTTTTTTTTCTATATATTATTTCTATATATTATATATAAGAATTAAATTGTAGTTATATGTATATACAATTTAAAGGTATTTATAATTAGTAACTAATTATTGCCTCGACCAAACACAAAGTATAATCTTCTCCGTCACTCGTCTCCGTCATATCTCCGGTTGTCTGGAAGAAATAGCAATTTAGCGATAAGACAGCCCTTTGTTACCTCAGTATCTTATTATGATTATGTTTTTATAAGTATTGTACTTGTGGACATATTAGTATATGTAATTGTTTTTTTTTGTGTAAGAGGAACAATGAATAGTTTTTCATTCATTCATTCATGACTACTGGTTGAAAAATTATTAAAAACTGGTGTTTTAAACATTTGTGTGCTCAGTCAAAGAAACATAACAACAATCGCTTCAGTATTAAAAGTTGGTGTAGATAATAAATAGATACATTTTTGTGTTCATTTATATAACAAATACAACAACCTGTATACAATTAAGCTTTGTACGCTGTTTTAATGTTTAAAGAGTCGCTATTTCAGGCGCTAAGCAGCTTGCGCTTGCTTTTGTAATCTTTGTAGGATGCGATTACGTATTGCAATTACAGGATGACATCATTTTCATCTGGAATGGCGACGTATGAGTGGTACCACATGGTAAAGCGATGGCGGTAATGATGTTCTTTTCAGCTCATTAGCCACTTCAATCCTTACTAATATTATAAATGTGAAAGTAGGGACGTTTGTTACGCTTTCACGCAAAAACTACTAAACCGATCATCATAATTTTTTTTTT